ACATTCATAGAAGCTCTATCAACAAAAAATGAGTCATTCCTACGACAAAACAAATTTTGATTGAGCAAAGAAAAATAAAGGAACCTATGGACTACTATAATTTGGCAACGTCATTATGCAAGTAGCGCCACCATTTTTCTCTCCCTCCATCTTTCTATATATTTCCCTCCAGATTTCCTCTTGAACCCTACAAATTAACACCCAAAATGCTTCAATAAAAAATCAAATTAAAGTGAAAATTAAAGCTAAACAAGAAAAATGATTTGAGAAAAGAACAGGGGCAAAAATCACAAAACAAAGATATAACACCAACCATCAAATACGATGATAGGAGCATATAGCACAACCAATTCCTTAAATTCAATGCAGCAAGAAAAATGAAGTAATCCTAATTGTTAAATGTCACGTCCCAAATTTTTATTACTCGAAAACATTACCAAAGCCTGTAATTTAGGTCCATTTTTTTTTTTTTTTACACATATACAAATATCTATTACACGTAATAGAAATACAATAACACATGTTCTCTCTCTCAATGAATATTACAATGACAACCATACATGTCAATCTCCTACTGTGCTACAAATAACTAAATACAAATACAAAATTCACTTCCTTTACATCTACTATGAAGTTATACAAATGGACTCAAGAACTCCATAAATCTTCAATAAAATAATCCAAATTTTCTTCCTGTAAAAAGATAAAACAAGAATGGGGTGAGCACTAATGCCCAGTAAGAATCTCATAACTCTAAATCAATAACTAACACACAGATAGAAATGATCATGCATGCAGGGCGATACCATATAGTAAGGTGACATTTCATAATCTCAAAATATCATATGAAAGGTATCTTTTTCTCAAAAACTATTGAAATACTTTTAAGAAAAACCTTCAGCCATTAAAATCATCCCTTAACTTTAGAAAACCATAGATCCTTGTGAAACAACCATATTTAAGAAACAACATCATTTAAAGGTTATTAACCAATCCCCAAAATATTTCTCGTTTAATTTTCCATTTTTAATACTTCTCTTTTCCTTTCATTCTTCTTTTCTACTCCTTGTTTTCAATTTAAAACCCCATAACTTCAAGTTTAGGTTCCTTTTTGACTCGCCAACAATTCTCCTGTACTCAATTCACACCGTTAATTACACTCGCAAAGTTTCACTTCAAGATAACACAATATTAATAACCCCTTCAATCCAATCCTTTATTTAATTATAGAACAACGCTCACAATTTACTTTTATTAACACAACTACTTCATTAAGTTTACCATCATGGTCTATAATTCCCATATCCATTTTTGGTTTCCATTATTTACAAATAATGCCTATGCATGTTTCCTCTTTGAACCAAACTACACATCAATATGAAATTTCACAAATTCATCACAAGCAACAAATAACATCATCAACTCAACACACTTCTCAACACATAGCCCAACACAATCCACCTTTTGCCGACTTACTACGACGGGATAGTGGGCACCCAATTCATTTTCGAAAACCAACCATTTTTGTAATTAATTTCCATGTTCTGAAGAGAATTCTCACAAAGTATATATAGTTATAATTTTTCCTCAACACAAAAGTAAATGTAAATGCAATGCTATGCCAAGGGTAATCAATGAGGAAAAATATTCAGTTCAATACATTGTTTCAAAATCGCCATGTTCTCAACATTATCATGTGATTTCATCAATTTCAAACTTCCAATATTAATTCAATAGGGGCGGTAAATACGACACTGGTAATCCCTAGGCTAGTGTCTGCAAGTAGGCTCAACAAGCACTACAAAATTGTCATTTTCACCGGTGTTAACCGGAAGGCTCGACACCTATCCGCGCGGCTTTCGAGTCTTTCACCCTGGACACTCAGGCCAACTTATCAAATTCATCTACACCCCCTATCCGGACTTACCAACGTATTTACCCCATACACATTTCCATATATCTCATACAAATCATTTTCTGTCATGAATGCAAATCTCTTCGATTTAGAACCACAATGCACAATAATAAATGAAATTATATGCAATGCAATAATTCCCATAACTCTTAAACATTTCTTCATGTTCAAAATTTCTACAATAATGCCACATTCAAAATTTCCCATTTCTTTCCTTCATTATTCTCCACAAACCCACCATTAACCATCCATTCATACTACAATTTCCTCCATCTCAATATACATATAAATAAAAGATTACCATTCTTGCAAACACATTATGGAATTTATAATCAATCACTTCGATTTCAAGATAGAAAGGAATTGTATGGACATCTTTCACATTTTTCCAAAAATCCCTGAATGTCTAGGGTTTTCACCATAAACCAAACATTTCCCATCCCCATAAAGAAACCCCATTAAATCATTCTCTTGATTTTAATAACCAAGCAAACCCACAAGTATTTAGTAAAATGATTTGGGATTAAACCCATTTTTGAAAACTCCACATTTTAGGTCACAAAAATCAAAATCAACATAGTCAATACAATTCCACATAATCACCACAATTCAACATATCTTAACTCAACACCACTAATTATAATTCAAAGTGTACTCCTAAATTTTCATTTCATCATTTCATATAATTCAAAGTGTACTCCTAAATTTTCATTTCATCATTTCATCCCAAGGCTCATGTTATCCATATCATTAACTAATCTTTTTTCCCAAGTTTCATTTCATATCATAGCATAATTTACAATATTCATAAATAAGGTCAATCGCTAATTTTTAACATAATTTTCAAACACTTCCAAAATTCAATTAAACTTGTATATATACAATTCAATACCTCAATTTCATAATTCTACTTTCAATTTGGGCAAACTCATTGTTTATCATCATGAATTAACTTAGGGTTTTCAAGAAAAATCTCGAATTTTAAAAAAAAAAATTCAAACTTCTTAAACCTTTACTTTTTGTTCCAATCTTCCCATTTATTATACACCCTAGGTCCATAATCCATAATCCATAATCTAAACCCAATAATAGAACCCCAACATTTCAAACCCTAATCTCAAAATTTCATGATTAACACTATATGCTCAAAATGTAGATTTTGCATTTATATACTCCAAAATACCATAAATCTATCTATTAATGTACGCATTGAAGGAGAACTAGGACCCCTACCTCAAGAATCAAGCAAACTAGCGAAGCTTTGATGAGAATCCGTCACAAATCCGAGCTTCAATCGGTTGAAAATGTTGATCTTCTCTTGTTCTCCATCCTTGATGCAAGATCCATGATGGATTTGTTGATAAAAGTGGAGGAAATCAAGGTTTTTAGGGTTAGGTTTTCGGACCTAGAATGAGAGGAAAGAAGAGGGGAAAAGAAAATGTAAGAAATGATCTAAAAATCACGTTTTTGAAGCTGCTGAATCGCACAGTCCCGCACGTGCGCCGCTTTTCCCGCTTGTGCGGACCTGCTTCCAGCACAGATATGAAAACTTCAAACGGGTATAACTCTCTCATCCGGACTTCATTTTAAGTCGTTCTTGTGTCCAAATTGAAGCCCCGGAAATAAGTTTTCCAATGGTTCTAGCCTCACATCCAAATTCAAAGTGTAGAAAAAGAAAAAGGCAAACAGAGTGACGGCTGATTGTAGGCAAATTGTTCGAATTAAAGTTTTTGGTCCAATCTTTCTCTACCATCATGTTACCACCTCAATCGATGCCCCAAAATTTAAAAAAAAAATGAGGTTCCAAACATCACCCAATGATCCTCAATTATAATATTTAAAGTTCAATTGTTAACCCATCAATATCAAGAGTCCGACAACCATACAAGTTTTAAGGTGGCGGGCACCACTATACATCAATCCAATGTGAATTTAAAATCGGAGTCATTATATTAAAAAACACAAATATCATGGAGAGGATTAAATGAACTTTTCCCAAAAAGTCAGTCATTCCACAAATAGCATCATATAACTATACTTGATATCAAGCTTGTTAAAAATAGAGAAAGTCCGTCATTCCACAAATAGCATCATATAACTATCCTTGAGATCAAGCTTGTTAAAAATAGAGAATAAGAATGGACTACAAAGCCAAAAAGAGTCATAACAGAACTCCCAAAAATTTGAAAGGATCAAAGGCCATGTTTGATTCACAAAACTAATAGTAAAGGTACTAATAATCTCATCAAATTAGTGTGGTATTTACTATCCAATTAGATTAGTAGGATAAATTATCCCCTTGTCCATTGTTTGATTTGCATTGGATAAGAAAACAAATGAATGTAGAATTACAACTATATTTATTTGCTTTTCTAATCTTACCCCCCATCAATGTTTCTTCACAATCTTTACTTTATCAAAATTTCTTCATAAACGTGGTTTTGAAAAAAATTATAAATAAATAAATAAAAGCAAAATAAAAATACAAAGGCCATGTTTGGTTTTTTTAAAATATAAATTAATTTGATAAAATAAATATCAAAAAATATTTTCAAATTTTTAAAAATTATTTTTAGCCTTCTAAAATATAAAATTATAGAAAAATAATAACGGTTTTAATTTTTAATCAAAGGTAAAAGAGTCTTTTTATTTTATTTCCCAGCTCAGGATATATAATCCCACCCTTACCCCATTACTAATAATCCTACAAATTTGTTAGATTAATTATCCATTGGATTAATAATCTTAAAACAAAATTTCAAAATAAACCCAAAAGTACTGGGCCCACGGATTAATAATCTCAATCTCATACTCTAATCCTGTCAATTAAACATACCCAAAGGGATAAAATATTTGGAGAGCAAAGAGGAAGTCCATATGTAAGCTATACTAGCAGCATTTTTCTTAGAAATCCATTTGGCAAATCAATAAATATTTTAGTAGAAAATAATAGATAAATGGCTGTCACAAGCTCTAAACTACAAATTACATCAAAATCCACAAACAAAAAGCTGAAAACTGAATCTAGTTTCGTTAATACTATATGCAAAAAATTAAGAAATATGATATAGTCCAAGATTTTTTTAAAATAATTGGGTAAATTACACTGACCTATCTATTGAGGCTTTTGACAAGATGGAGACATCCCCACAAGTTTAAATGACACTGACCTCTCTCTGCCACCTAATTACAAATCACAATCACCCCTCCATCATTGGTTTGAACCATCATGCATCATCACCCAAGTCTATAACCATCTCCAAACAAAACATTTTATGATTCTCACTCTACTCTCTGTCCTTACTCTAAACTCTCACCCACTAGCATATTTCTCTCCCACATATCTCAAGTTAGATCAAAATTCCAAATCTACACTCCTCAGACTATTGCATCAAAATTTCAAATTTTGTATCACTAACATTCATAATTTCTAACAAACTGTGAAGCTCATGCCAAAAATTTGAAAATTCAATATTCCATACCTACCATGTCCAAACTGTTGCACCAAAAAAAACTTACAAAGAAATCTTGTTTAAAAGTGGAATTTTCATGTATCATTGAAAAAGTTCATGATATGAACTAGTTAATCACATGTCAAAACTAAACCATCAATTGGGGATCCATTACCATAACTTCTAAACAAAAGAAATGTGAATGGTTTCTACAATCCATTACAACAACAATATTTTTTTTAGGAGGTGATCTTATCCTTGCACCAAATGATAAAGTAATTACTAGACAATTATTGATGGGAAATAACAATGAAACACAAAAGTCATTAATCAAGTTGAGTAGAAGCTAAATTGTTTTTACTTTTCCCTTCTTTTTTATACTTACATATAGAAGATAATCACATGTTATCTAGGATGAAATTAATCCACTCCACACGCACTTCATCAAGTTCAAATTCCATGCAAGTCTTCTTCCCATTAAACTACAAGAGGTCATTAAGAACCAATTAGTAAATGAAAGGTCATTCGTAAATAATTAGTAAGCAACTACTAAAATTGATCTTACGTTTGTTTTGCTTAGGATGCTTTGATCTCTAATAAGGTCTTTCATGTACCTCATTACATAAAATCCACATTCCACGCTTGTCAATTGTTGTGGGCACTACATACAAATAATGTGCTTTTTATTAGAAAACTACATATAACAATTATACTCAAGATGAATCATCATTAACATTAAATATATAGCTCAAAAAAAAAAAAAAAACTATATTGATTACCTCAACTACTTGCCAAATTGGCTTTCTATTCATCCCTTTAGTTATTCCATAAATCCAAAGACCACTTTATAAAAAGAACAAAGATTAGTACATTATAATTAGAATAGCTCTATTGCAAAGAAATGTACAAAAGTAATAAACTTCCATGTTTATTATAATTTTTAAACTTGTGTTGATTTCACCATGATAAAATGAATCAAGATAGTACACTATCATCGATGATAGATCAATGACTAATAATACCTAATGGTACCTAAAATTGAACAAATCACAAATATGAGCTCAACAAGTAATTATTTTTCAAACACGTGAAATAAATAACACTACGACAATTACCCAATATTATAAGGAAAAAATATTAGTTGGTTAGGCTTGGCATCATCTAATCTTCTAGCAATCAATGTTGATTTTGAATTTCCACCAGTCTAACATTTCCCACTAACGACATATGGGGTAACAAATTCAAATCTTCTGTCCAAATTCGACGTTTTTAACACTTGATGGAAATGACTAATAAAAGAAGAAATAATTGTCATAAGAAACTTTGTGATTGATAAAAACCTCAGCTTCTCAAAAAGCATGTAATAATTTAGTCTTACCTTATGTACAACATGATGCATGTAATGGATAGCTCTTTCATTTGACATACACACTCCATGTCTACTCTTTGAAGTTGTACACTGATCTCCTCCCCAAATATGTCCTTCTCTAGTGGAATGTTAATGGCTTCATCATACTTGAAATGCTCGACCAATGATTCAAAAGCATGTATGGACTCCAATTTTTTTTCAAAATCAACATTTTTTGAATTTCTCTAAGTTTAGAAAATTCCCAATGCAAAAATATGTCAATTTCAGTGCAAGAAAATGTAACAACACTACTGGAAAAGATAGTTGTACCTCATTGCCGACCAATGAAGCAAAAGCTGGAATGCACTCCAAACGTTTTTCACAATCAACATCTTTTAAAGCTCCCTAAATTTGAAATGTTACAATGCAAAAATACACAGGTCAATTTTAGTTGAAGGAAAATATAGTAACACTTCTAGAAAAGATATTTGTACCTCATTGTTGACCAATGTGAATTTTTTGGGCCAAGCCACCTGACATCCTATTGCCTCTCCAACAATAGTCATCTCTTCCGGGATAGGAATGGGAAGAGGGGCATATCTTTAACTATAGCAACATCAAAAGACACTCATACATTGAATTTCCCCAATGGTACCGTGTGAATAACTTCTTGAGGTCCAGTTCTTTCATACATCGTCTTAAAATTGATGTATTATTTATTGATATTATGTTGTGTATTACACATGGTGAGTATGTTCTTTATATAGGAGATGTAGTAGGTGAAGTGGGTGGAGTAGGTGTAGTAGGTGGTGGAGTAGGTGAAGTGGGTGAAGTAGGTGGTAGGTTTTAACAGCCCCCCGCAAACTCAAGAGGGATAGGAACTAACCAACTTGAGTTTGGAGAGAGTAACAAAACAAGAAAATACATAAAAATAAAAGAGGATAGGAGACACTGTATGGTCGTGTCAGACCATTGGTGAAGACACTGGATGGTGGTGTCATAACGTTGTAGAGGACACTGTATAGGGGTGTCATAACGGTGTAGAGGACACTGGATGGCGGTGTCAGACCGATGTAGAAGACAGTTTATGGGGTCATGTCGGACCGTTGTAGCAGGAAAGTTTACGGGGTCTTGCTGGACCCTTGTAGAAACTAACCGAAATCAATGTCGGGACAGTTTACAGAGTCTTGTCGGACCCATAAAAAGTCGCACCCTCAAAAGGTGTGCCCAATCTTTCAAAAGGCGTGCCATAAAAAGGCGTGCCCAATCCATAAAAAGACGTGCCATCAAAAGGCGAGCCCAAGTCATAAAAAGATGTGCCGGACATGAAGGGCATAACCAAAAATTCGCAGTGGCCATACCTTGTCCGAAAAGCAATCTTCTCAACATCCTCGGCTTTAACCTTGAGCTGGTGGTAGCCCGACCTGAGATCGATCTTAGAAAAGACTCGTGCCC